AATTGCAAAATAATAAACATGACAAAATTCAGATTAATAGGGCATCCTGTGCAACTCGGATGGCGGGGAGAGCCCTCTGGAATTCTAAGAGTAATAGGCCTGTGTTTATTTCTCAACCGACAGCATAATGTGACTGATTTACAAGAGTTTAACTCAAGTGTTAATCTGACAGTGACGAAGAGCTTCTCAGTGGCAGAATCACTTACACTATCATATTAGTTGCCTCCTCTATTAAAGCAGTATGGTCGATAATTGGAATGCTTTTATGTCTAGTGGTTCTGACAAGGCTCTCTTTAGGTCACATATGGGCGGTCTGGCTTGCTGCACAGCTGAGCGGTGGCAAATGATTTAAACTGAGAAAGTATTGTTCTCCTCGTATTATGGAGCAAGGGCAGTTCAAGGAAAGTAAGGCTCTGCACCGGCTACCTGCTGGTGTGTAGTAAAATAAGATGGACATGATACTGGGTTGGGAGTACAATTAAATCTATTTTGCACCAATGTGTTGGTGGACAGATGAGTTTCCACATGGCAGAGCTTTATGATCTTTAAGGTAGACTGAACTAATAGATTGGTGTGGAGCGCACTGAAGTTACTAAGGATGAGAAAGCAAGCAGCAGTACATTTGAACTACAGGTTTCTCATATGCTCCACGTCATGCTGAGTTTTTATAGCTCCTGGCTTTCAAAAAGCCTGTTTCAAAGAGGTTTGCGCTAGACTGGGCATGCAGTTTTGCTCTGCAGATATTGTCGCTACCGATTTAGTGGAATGCAATTAGGAAGCCTAAATTAAGTGGTAATGGAGAACCAGCTCTTGAAACTGGGGTTTCCACGGCAACCACTGCTTACAATACAGCCTTCAGTTAGTTTTCCCACTTTATCTGCAAAATGCACAATTGAGCTTTAAAACAGCTTTGTGCTGAAAAGCGCACTGTAAACAACTGTTTGCAATGAGAGTTTTACACTGTCTTTAAATACAACAAGCTATCAAATAAAATTTATTTGTCCACACTAATAAAAAAAAAAATAAAAAATCCACACAGTACAGAAAGCACTAAAGGGTCCAGAAACTAATTATTTATTCTGGAAATGGATCTATAATAAAAATATTCAAGATTTTGTGGGTCCTCAATCTATCTTTTAAGTCTTATCATCATTCCTCAATTTTAAGACACATAATTCCATATCTCTCAGTAGAGAGAAGAACTTAGCATTTTGGTACAAATACTACATTTATCACAATAGCAACACTATATAGTTATAAAGCACTTTTTGTTTAATATGAACTAATAAATGTGCATTTTCATCAGACTTCCTTTAACATCTAGCAATCTTTTGTAATTTCTTTTTCCTCTTTATAATACAATATTATATCCTTTACAAATGTTCTTATTTTATGGCAAAGTAATGCTATGCCATTTCTGAAATGCTTAACATTGTTGATTGCTTTAGGATCATAGCCCAACTTTTGCATCTTGTCAGAGGCAACCACAGGTGCTTAAATATGCACAAAATGCAGGAAAGTCGAAAGGATGATGTTAAGGCCTTAGATTCAAATTGTATTGACCACCCTTTTCATGATAACTCCATCAAAATGAATCTCAAAGCTTAATTTATGAATTTGCAACCAATCATTCTTCTCTGTTGCACAATTGCAAGTCTTGGATTAGTACTGTCAGGTAAGAGTTGAGAGCTTGGCAGTTTTTAATTTTCTGTTTTCTCTTTTTTTCCCCCCTCCTACACATCTTTGTTTTAATTAAGATAAAAATCTCAGAGAAGACATTGTGCAAACTTTCCTGAGATAATTTCAGAAGAGATAGCACATAATTTTGATTTTTGGTCTATTAGCTGATAAGTATTCTTTCAAGGAAGAAGTTTTGGAAAAAGATAAAAACACACCAACAAAAGATCCCCACAGCAAGTCAAAACAGACCTAATTTGTGTTTTAGCTGAAGTTCAGCAACCCAAGAAACTTGCAGCCTTTCAAGATTGATACACTGTGTGTGTGTGTGTGTGTGTGTGTGTCTGTGTGCGTGTGTGTGTGTGTCTGTGTGTGTCTGTGTGTGTCTGTGTGTGCGCGCATTTAGCAACCATATTGGGTCAATGCAAAGAGAGAAAAAGGTATGCGGGTGAAGGTGGACGGAAGGGGAGAGAAGGGGGAGGTGTGGGTGCCTTCCCTCCGGAGCCTGTTGGTCAGAGGACTGAATCTTGACATCCACAGTCATGTATAAATCTGGATTTGATACAGTCTCTGCAGACTTTGAACATGCCAGGCAGGGAAGCTTGCCCTTCACAGTACGGGTGCACTTTCAGATGGGGCTGTGACTATTCTGATCTGCTCGAAAGAGCCTTTTCAGCACTAACCAAAAACAGAGGGAGGATAGCAAGGCTGATTGCAAAGTTCACATCTCCTCTGCTGTGTGCTGGTGCTAATGGGAGTTTCTCCTGTGATGGGTAGGTCATAAAACACACAGCTGCAGAGACTGTGCAGGGTGAACAAATCAAAGAACTCAGTAATAAAAATGATGTGTGTGCCAATATTATTTAATATTAACTTGTGAAAACTGTTGAAGAAACACATCTTTGCCATATATCAGAATTGACTCTAAAGCTGAATCAACGGATTAATAGGGTTATTTGTAATGATATTGTCCTCGTAAAGGCTTTATTATTTAGGAATCAGAGTTGAAAATTGTAATTCCTTTAATGATTTTTCATCACATAAATTAGCCTGCCTCAACTCCTCCGTCTAGAAGGCAAGAGGAGAGGTTGAGCTGGTCCTCTTCCCCATTCTTACGCAAAATCTGCTCATTTGGATGGATCCCAAATTTAAAAGAAACAAGTTCCTGGAAGAATTGCAGAATGCCAGTGCTCTCAAGACTTTCACAGGGCATCTCGTTTCAACACCGACTGCCTGCATTTTATCGGAGTACTAAAGGACACATTGAAATTATTTTGTTCTGGCACTGGCATGTGTTGTGATGTGTATGCATTCAATTGCACTTGACAAATCTTTGGGGCAAACAAAATGGTCTAATGTAAGGAAATATCTTAACATATTCCAAAATGACATTTTTAGACCAAACATGTGTTCGATTGATTTGCCTTCTCCAGAGATCACTTTTGAATGCAGGCCAGCAATAAGCGGGGGGGCAGGCTCTCGCTGAAGGCCAGGCGGGTCAGCCGTGCTTCCGCTGGTATTTCCTGCGCTGCAGAGTCCCGTACCTAACTGTACAAATAGCTCCACATGGCATCCTGAGAGCGTGCCAGGGAATTTTATGATCGCACGCCAAGTATGGTTGTCAGGTTCCACTCCACTGCTGTGTGTGTATGTGTGTGCTCATATGTGTGTGTGGCTGAAGCTAACTTCAGACTGAGTAATTACCATAATCCAAGCAGGGCCTTTACCATCTTATTTGCATTCAGCCAGCAGTGCTGTTTTTATCAGCACCACTACTGAATTGTTGCAAAGTTTTAATTATCTTGACAACTCTCCTTTTTTTCTTTTTTTTTTTTTTTCTCTCTCCCCTCTTAGGTTGTGTTTGGATTTCAGCAGTCATCCCCCTATGGCAGCAATCACATTTCTGCAATGAGGAAGTTTTCTCACTTTTTCTTCTAGTATTTATAAGCAGCCACAAAGGCTGCTTAGAAGGGGGCAGAAATGGAGGGAGGTTGTATTTATTAGTTAATGCCTAATATATTTTTTTCAGCAAAAGTCACTCTAGACTCCTCTTTTTGAATTGCACTTGAAGCTCTGGTGTAACTTTACACATGTGTGTAAGCTTGCAGAATTGAAAGAAAACTATTTCCTATGCAGAGAAATACCCCCTTGCATAAATGTTTGCCAAAATAGAGCTTTAGTTGTCATGTTTTCAATATTTCCATAATCTTTTGATTTAGGATTAGTATAAAGTGTATCATGTCACTTATATTTGCTCTCTCTCAAACACCCTGCATTTTCAGTATTTGAATGCTGTTAGACAAATTCAACCTTGAAATAAGACACCGTCTCCTAGCAGTAAGGGTAATTAAACACTGGAAGAGCTTACCCAGGGAGGAGGTGGACTCACCATAGCTTGGAGTCTTTAAAATGAGATTAGACATCTTTCTGAAAGACATTGTTTAATCCAGCTACTTGAGTAAGATTCTAGTGCACGTATACAGGGGGTCAGACGAGAAGATTGCCAAAGCTCCTTTTAACTTCTCAGACCGTTAGCCTAGAAATCTGAGTTCAGATATCTTTTGGTTTAACATTTAAAGAACAGCTATAGCATCTGCATACAAAAATTGTTTTTTGGGAACATTAAGACTAAATAGATTTTAAAACTTTGTTGGCCACTGCAGACAATAATGTTCTGCCTGCTGGGTTTTGCACTACCTTTTGTTTTGCTTTTATAAATAGCTACAAATCACTAAGTTTAATGCAGAATAAAATACTCCAATATGAGATTGCTATGGAGGAATAGAAGGCTTTAAAGTATAAAGATTCACAATCACAGCAAATGCAAAAATGGTTTCTAGTCTGTTGGCATCTCAGGTACAATAGTTGTTTTAAAAATAAGCCAAATTAATGTACTTTACTAACCATAGACTATTATGACAGTATTTAGCATCTCATCTCTTATGAAGTTTATGCATTAGATTTCATATAATTGCCATCAAACAGCGTGGCAGTATTCTGTTCATCTGAAAGATAGACAAATTCTGTTTAACAGTCCTTACACATTTCTTTTGCTGCATTTTGGCCTTATGAACACCTTATCCTTGTTTTCCCTTTAAAAGGAAAAAAAAATTAAAGGTAAAAACCATTAGGGATTTCTCTTTAAATCCAGCAATCTATGCATACTACTAAGAATCAATGCTCTGTAAGCTGTCTGGTGTTCTGCAATAAATTCTAGCTTTTATAGACTTTTTCTGGGCCAGGTAGCTGTTAATGCCATAGAAATTGATTATTTGTGGTGTTCTTATCACTGCTTAAAATATCTAATTGCTTTTTCTCCACAGATTTGGATTTGGCTTGCTTGATGCTGGACGATTAATGAAGGAAGCCCTAACTGGACAAATGTTGGTCTCCTGAGACAATGTGTTGTTGATAACAGGTCTGATTTGAGCAAGTCTAGTCAAATTCAATTTTAATAGTATTTAAAGGCACACGCAGGGCACATATAGCTGAGCTTTCAGCTAGTTTGTCTGTTTTTAATGTCTGTTGTTTTACTAAAGCTTATTTCATTAAGTATTAAACTTTGCAAGACAGTAAAGACTGTCTCTGTCAGCTGCAGAGACACAAATTTAGCCTCAGTATAGCAGATTTTGTTCAAAATTTGCCTTTCTTCTTTCATACTTATGCAGACTGGAATATGTAATTCATCACTACTTGACTGTTCCTGTGGAGGAATTATTGCAGTCTGATTATTTTGAACCCTAAAAATTATTGATTGAGGTAAAGAGACATGAAGGTATTGCAATCAGTTCTCAATCTAGTGAGGGCAACCTACTTAAAGCAGCTAATCCTTAGCCTAAAAGCTGTATGCAGTTGCTACAGCTCCTACAGGACTTTTCACATCTCTGTGCCTGTGCCATTTATGTGAAGTTAAGTACAAAACGTTTTCCACTGCACTACCAAAATCAAGATAACCACCAAACATCAGGGCATTATCTTACTGGATTGCTGCATTGAGCATGAAATTCAGCTCACAGCTCAGTCACAGCTCTAGCTGAGGGGGAAACAGGTCGCATGTGCCACCAGAATTCTGGACTTCAGGATGTGTCCCCTCTCACAAAGCTGGAACAATGACGTCTAAAGTCAGTAAGGTCTAGAGTACTTTCCTTCTTCCAAGACCTCCCATTTTCTAGAAAGAGGCAAAACCAGGGGGAAGTGGAAGGTGCATCTGTGCACCTTGCACATCTTCTAACCACAGCACTAGCCTCTCTTTCTTTGTCCCCAAAGAAGGTTATTGAAACAGAGCATAATGGCCAGCTCCCTGCAGGTCTAGGTATGGCACTGCACATTGTTTTAAGCACCATTTTGCAGAAGTGACTGCATTTTCTTTTGTGGTGTTTGTTGTCTTTTTTATTCTGTAGGGAAAGGCAGAAATCTCAAAGGGGGAAGAAAAATGGATGGACATGGAAAGTCATGAACACAAGGTTCATAGTCCAGTTCCAGCAATTATCTATAGCCCTTTTCAGCAAAGTGGCCCCTAGCCATGTTGGGACCTGGAGTACTCTCCTTTGGCTGATGTTAACAATATTTGATTCAAATAAATCAATAACCCTGTTCATATCTCTTTCAGCATTTATCCCAGGTCTGTATCAAGACACAGAACAGTCAGACTTGTCACTGCCACCTTGCAGAGATGGTCCTTAGACATAATGCTTTGAATCAGGGTGTTTCTTCTCTGCATGCCATTGTTTAGGAAAAAAATTTAAGATTTATTAGTCTGGAGAAAACAAGAGACAGACCATCATTTACGTTTTTTTCCTGCTGTGCAGGTACAGAGCAGTTACCTACAATGAGCTCATCCCACAAGCCACAGTGTCTTTTGTTTGTCAGTTTCAGCCAGATTAATGTTAAGATGGACTGGGTGCAAACAGCTGGTTTTGTGCACTTATGGATCAATGACTTCTGCATTTTTCCAAGTATTTTTGTAGAAAACACAGGAATGAAGCATTCCTGTGTATTTCTGTGAGGTGATTGCTTCCCAAAGATGTTTCTCTGTTCAATCCTGATGTAATTCTCCAGCAAATGCAGAGAGTTACACCCCTGAGGGACAGGAGCACTCTCCTTTTTCTCTGGAACAATGTTGTATGTAAAAGGTACAGCAAGGAAGTCTGATTCTCAATATTGTACTTATTTGAGGCTTCTGAAGGTGTGATTTATTGGGAGTGATTAATTAAACTATGAGTCATGATTTCCTTATTTTTCCTGTCACATTACTTATGAACAAGAGGGAAGTCAGTGTAGTTAAATGGTATGAGATAGTAAATTTAGAGGAAATAAAAAGAAATTAGTTGTGTTGTATGTGGTCAACCTGTGGGATTTCCAGCTACAGATGACCATCTGATAAATAGGGTTCCTTGATTGAAAAGAATAGTTGTTAATGCTATTACCATAACAGATGGAACCATCACTGTATTTCTGGGACTTCTGGGTGTACTGGGAAGGCAGAAGTGAGTCCTTCTTGGCTAATAAAGTAAGAGCAAATGCACCATGTGCTCAGAAGTCAGGCAGGAGCACTGTTCTCCGTGGGAAACAGTACTGCACTATTAGCTTGATCTATGACTTGCCATTTCATGGTTTGGTTGGTTGTTTATTTGTCTGTCTTTTTAATTTCTCTGGAAAATACTGTACTGGCTCTTTCTGTTGACTGAATGATCAGGCTTGGGCAGAAGACATAGCATTCTTCTTCTCTGACCTTTATATCAAAATTGATTAACAATAATTCTTTTTCAGAAAAGGATTGACAATAAGATGTGGATGTTCATCGTTAATGAACTCTAGTCACCAAGTGGAAGTCAGCTAAGTTTGATGTTGCAATTGACCACCTTCTCAGCAACAACTGAATATTTGCTCCTCAAAATGGTAAAGTAATGCTGTATTCTTAGATAATATGAAGAACCACCTGTTGCTCTACTTGGATGTTTTGTGTCTGTCATATAATTTCTTGGGACATTTCTCATTAGTGGTAATAGCAGGATATACTGGCTAGTATTTATACAGTCAGAAATGGTAATTAATAAGAATAAAATTAATAAATAAGAATTAGAGGCTGTGTAATCCTGTAAAATATAGATAATTTTATATTCATGTATTTTAATCTATGTAAAGTAAGAAGTCCACTCATAACTTAATTGGTTTTGTTTGTTATCATGTTTGACATTTTAGAGAAGAATTCACTGAAAGGGGTCTATTTTATATTGTTCTCGCTTTCTAACATAAGACTCTTATTTAAAAGACTCTTTGTTTTCAATTATGAAAATACTTTCCCGATCTCATTAGCCAAAAAAAGATGAAGTGCTGTTTTTCCTTTTTATTTGTGACAATACAAATTAAACACACCTATGGCATACCAATTACTGTGTTTATTCTTTTTATACAGAGCAAGCCTGTTAACTGTGAATGTGAAGAGATGAAGCAAGCAGAAAAAAAAGAAGTGTGAAGAGCTTTGCTGCCATATCGTCCCTGTATCAGATAGATTTAGGATCAATGAATGAATAGGTATTTAACAGAGACTGTTATTCTACAGAGAAGGTCTATTTGGTCTATTTCCAAGAAACGAAGGGGGGAAAATTAAAAGGCAGATCAGTATTTTTCACTATATGATGACAATATTAGAGAAAGAACTTCATTTGTCTTTAAATTTTGGATCTTTACAGTGGAAGAGTACTACAGAAAGATCTAGATAATATCTTTTATCAAGTGTTGCCACGGTACCAGTATTTTTGTTTTCTTGTTGGAGTTACTCATGTAAGAAAAACCGCTCTGCTGTATAAGTTAAAAGTTCACATTCTGTCCTTCATTTTTGCACTTGACATTATAAGACACTTTGTTTACTATAGAGGTAATAGGTATCATCGCCTTTGTTCTACCATGAAAGTGTTGATTTTTAAAATAATAGATGTTTTAATTATTCTAATTATAACTTAATACTGGTGCAATGACATTTCACATGCAGAAATTATATTAGTGAAAATCACTTAGGATAACAGGCAGAAACTATTTTTTTTTTCTCTGAGTATTCATAGTACACTGGAAATTGGGAGGTCAGGATTTCTCACAGATAAGACCATCCATTGCTGTGTTTCCCTCTGTGGAGTTACATGCTACATTCCCTTCCTCCCTTATATACTAAAGCAAGAGAAACGTTTCACTCATTAGCAGGGATTCCGTGTCAGGCACTAGTTTTGGTGGTTTTGGTGCTGTACAAGGCAGAAGATATGGGGGATGTCTGGACAGTCAGCATCAAGTGCTTACTTTAAATGCCAGAGGTGGAGGAGTTCTGGAAAGAGCTGAAAAAATACAAGTAGATTAATTTGCACTTCACAGAAGTTTCTGTTAGAATAGATTCAGAAAGGGACTGAATTAGACAGAAAGAGAAGCAAGCACAGAGGCAAAGTAATGGCAAAAAAATAAACATTAAATATTTCCTTTAACTGCAGTCAGAGATGGGGATTATATTTGACCAAACAACCAAATCCTCCACCACAAGTTAAAACCAAGGCTAACTCCACTTTTTATTTCAATGCTTTCAATAGAAAGGACACAGTCAGTTATTCTCTGTGTGCTAAATAGTGTGCTAGCAACACTAATAGACCAAGCAGGTAACCATTTGTGGCATTGTATGAGCGGTATAATATTTTACAGTAAATATAAATAGGATACTCACTCATCTTGTTCAAGTTCCCAATGTACTTTAGAACAAACCAAGTAATTTTGACAGAAAAATGTTGACCAACCCTAGCCTAACAGCATTCACAAAATGAGCTGAATACTGACACAAATCCCATCCATTAAAAAAAAGCCAGTGGTATTACACTGACTTTTACAATTTGAAGGATAAATACAGAAATATGAAAGATGGAGTAATAAAAGCCAAGTAGCCCCTGCTCTTCAAGGGTCTCATCCAGAGCCTACAAAGGTAATATACCTACTCTTTTTGATTTTCATAAGCTTTGTATAAGTCAAAAATCATTGAAAATTAATAACAGGAAGAAGAATCACTCTGTTTATATTTATTGGGTTATATACATAATAAACTTTAAAAAAAGAAAACAATAGAAAACATTAAAACAGATACAAATACTAAATTAATTCTAGACTTCAAGATTACCTTATTTTCTCTTCCAACATGAGTGATGACTTTTCCAAAGACTTTATTGAAAACATTTCTCTTTCCATCGTGGAATTGTGCATCTTGCTTTCTTCTTGCAGCTGTTCCTTCTAGAGACATGAATCTTTGGACAAGCAGTTACCAATATCAGAGGGTAGTCTGGAATGTACCACCACCTGGGACACCAAAGGATTACAGATTGCTCTCATGAGAACTGCTGGGTGAGGGTGGTGGTGGTGAGTCAGGAAAGTGTCCAGCTAAAGAAGAGCGCCCAGGAGTGCCCCAGGGAACAGAAGCAAGGTCAAACATCATTCTGCCAAACAGATTTCTGAGCTAACCTGCATTTTCAGAAAGAGCAGATAGACATTATTCTTACAGTGGATTTTTATTTGAAAACAAAGCAAGCAAAAAGACTAAGATTAGATCCTTATTCTGCATTTCACCAAAGGAGAACTGAGGAAAAGACAGATGGAGTGATTTTCTGGAGCAAGCTGAGCCCCAGGTCGAATTGGATCTCCTGTCTTGTTCAGAGGCTGCCCTTTCCTGACTGTGATGTGGAAGATACACAGCCATTAGCAGGCACCTGCAAAAATGCTCCATCAGTTTTTGCTCAAAGTGACAAAGCCCAGAGGACGATGTCTGTGTTCCCTGCAGGTCTGTAGGGAGCATGATGTAGCCGATGCAATTCCCAGCTCCAGCACACCTGCAAGGTCTCATTGATCTGCTGTTCAGTGCTCTGAAAACTCAGAAATCTATTATCAGTGTGAGCATGTGCTTATTGATCAGGTTACCTGCTTCTGCTCCCTGGGTGCACCTAATTGTACTGGCGTGCACACACACACACACGCACATAAATATTCACACACGTGTGCATAGATACAGGCACACACACATGGGTTAGGGGGATGTGTGTATGATAAAGGCTTTACCTTTTTTTTTTATTTTAGCTTTAAAAACTGCACATAAATAAAAAGAATGGACCTTCCCCGTGAAACGTGAGCACAGAAACGCTCACAAGTGGCCAAGAGCTGCTAAATAATTAATCAATAGAGCAGTGTGGCAGTTTGAAATGTAAATGTGATGGATGAAGGTGTGATGCTTGTCATCAAGCAGAAAATGATGTGACTGGAATGGATAACCCAGAGTACCTGCTAACTGGCAAGAGCTTGGACACAAAGATAAAGTAAAGCCATCAGAAAGCAGACCTGGCAACCCCTAATTCTTGCCTTTGACCCACAATTCACTTTCATGTCTCTGTCCCAGAAGAGATGTTTAAAAAAATGATGAAGAGAGATCTTGGGGTGGGAAAGGGGTGAGAAAAAAACCATCAGAAGAAATGCTACCTGACAAGGCTGCAGGCTACGTTCTTGAGAACACCTTTCTTTTCTTTATGTTCTCCTTCTCCTGTTAAATAAAAATGCGGCTCCTTTTTTCCCTTTCCTTTCTTCCGAAACTCTCCCGAGCCGTTCCGGCAAGTGGTTCTGTGACTCGGGAGCTGACAACAGCCGCATGCAAAGGAACAAAGAATGAGAGTGACAATTCAGAGTGCACGCAGGTGAGAAAGACACCTTTTACTTATCAAACTAGGCTGCAAAAAATGCTCTTTTTACTCAGTGAGCTAGAAATGGCGGTGATCTAACAAGGCACTGATCCAAATTCTTTATTTATGCTGAGATGTAATGCTAACAGGATTTTTAGGTTGACTAGTAGTCTGTGGCCCCTCCGTTCAAGTAAGGAAGCATTCCTCTGATTTGGAAAGAGGAAAATCCATATAATTACTGTATATTATGTGACAGGAAAATGTATGCTGCGATGGTAAAGGGTGACAGAAAATGTCCATCAAAAAATTTGTTTTCAGCTATTTCCTATGCCAGTCATTGCATTCTCTCTGTGGAGAAACATAACACGATAGAACTCAATTGGTCCAGATTTGAGAGAAATTAACTTTTGTAAAAAATGGGATTTTTTGATCCATTCTTTTCCCCCTATAAAATTATGAGCCTTCACGTAGGATTTAAAAGTTCAATGTTTCCTTTTCCCTGAAAAAGAGAAACCTCTTTCTCAGTAAGTACTATTTAGCACGTTGGGGATTTTTTTCCTCTTTTGTAATCAAAAGCGCACTCTTTACAGAAAGCGAAAAATACCACAGTTTTACATTAAATTTTCAAATGACCCAAAATATACATTAGCAGATAACACCCACTAAAAGTGAAAGCTAAATATAGATATATAATAATAGTGCTTTGACACGCAAAATAGATGTTCTACCATTTCTAAGTCATAAAATATAAATACAAGCATTCTCTTAAAATCTTTTGTGTTTTTTAGGACTTCTACAGATGTGAAGCAGTCTGCAGAAGCAGCAGATCTCCAGGTGAACTGGCCAGTGTCTCCATATTTCCTCAAATGACTATTTTTACTTTATTTTTTTGTTGGATCAGGCTTTTAATCTTTATGATACCTCTATAAAAGAGTCGTCAAGAAAACATATAAGTATTTCTACACAAAATTTAAAAAAAAATCAGGTTATTTCCAATTAGTTAATTTCCAATTAGTTAATTTAATAAAAATTAATTTTGGAAGTCGAGAATTAGAGTTGTCATTAAAATAAAACCCTAGTTTGCCCAGCTCCATAGTAAATAACTCACATTTTGTCTGGAACAGTTTGCAGATGTAAATCCATTGAAGGGAAATCATTTCTGTTAGTTGACTACCTGGATAAGCTTTAAGCAAAGTGCCAGCTATCTGTGTATATAGGGAATCACCACGATCCAAACAAATATTTCCTCTTCAGAATGACAAAAATGTGGTCTGATTGGTAATTCAGCTTGAATTTCATTTTTGGGGCATTTTAAGTCATGTTTTCAAATTTTTTATTCTGGAGTATTCATCTAGCTCATGTCAGAGCCACTTAGCTGTATATATTTACTTACAGGGACATTCATAGTAATTTTTAGTGTTTTTTCACAGGTTCACAAATGCAGTATCATCCTAAGCAGGAATCAGACATCAGAATTTGGAAAAATATGAGTATGCTAGTCTGTCGGATGGAGGAACGATCCTACACTTTACATCTGTTATCTTTTTGACGGGATATGTTTGTAGATTTTACAGTGTTAAAAAGGAATTTGGTCAACGGCTCACAAAGATTGATGCTGAGTATAAGCAATTGCCACATTGCAGTAATGTAGCAATATTTATCACTAGTAGGTCTTCCATTCCCTCATAAACTGCTGTAGAAGTGGAAAAGAGACATTTTAGCACTCTGTTGTCACTAAACTCATAGAAGTTCATTTCTGTACCTCTAGTCTGTCTCAGCTACAGAGGATCTTGCAATAGGAAAATGACAGATTGGGCTGTAAATGTGCATCAGTCATCCCCAGCCTCTGTGAAGGAGAGGCACCTACTCAGGCTGGGGAGAACTGTGATGCCCCCTGTCCTTGTGCCCAGACTGGAGGCCCAGCTCACTGCTGTGGAGGTGCTTACCAGCCTAGCATTAGGAGCAGTGGTTCACCGTGGCAGGGAATGTACAGATACACCAGCAATTAGCCAGTACTTCCAAATATCATAGAAACAGAGTTTCTTTAAGTTTGCTAGGTACATAGAGGAAAGGGACATAAAAATTAGCCTGACAGAGGCAGAGCTGAAAAACTCCAAAGTGGTCTCCAGCAGCTGCCTGCTGAAGAAGAGAAGCTGATAACCTCGTGGCAGTGTCCCATCTCACTGTCCCAGCCCCCAAAAATTTGAAGCTTGGACACTTCCTGAGTTAGGAAATTTTGCCTACCTTGCTGTAGCGATGATTGTTTAAATATACAGCCATGACTTGCCCATACAAGCAGGCTTTGTTTCACCCCAAGTGTTATGCCAAACTAGTTATATATCATTGTGAAGAATAACTGCATATCCCCAGAGTTGATTTCCTATGGCACATTTTACTTAGATACTTTCTCAACACCCTCGCAAATATGTCATAGATCTAAAGCACAATCTCCATTTCAAAATGAATGGGTCTGATTACAGGCATATTCATTTTGTAAAAGGTACAAAAGGATACAAATGTGCCTTTCCATCTCCTATAATGTCAAACTAAGACCCTCTTGCCCTTTTATTTCAATCCCCGCAATTTGAAAATATAAAAAATGACTTGATTATATGTTTTTTGCCATTAAGTGTATAATTGCTTTTGTGTTTTGACATTTAATTCCTTTTACCAAAATACATGGTAGGAATTAAAAGTCAAATCTTTTATGTATTTGATGTACAGAACCTTCCACATATTTCAATAAGAAATACAGAGCAGTGAAACCTCATGGCAGGTACAGCAAAGCCATCTGAAAATGAAGTCAGTATTTATACTGGAAATCTCACTGTGGCCCCAGTTCTGCCCTCCCTTATCTAGGTCAATGGCTTTTGAAATCACTGGAAGGTCTGAATGAGTCAAAACCAAGCAAAACCTGCAGGACTTGACCTTTAAAATCGAGCTGGGATTATACCGTGCCCTCTCGGGCAGATTTTGAGATTACAATCCAGTCTGAAAATGAGTTCTGAAAGCCATAAGACAGGAGTTGGCCAGGCACTCGAATGTATTGACCTGGTATGGGATGGCAGTAGTAAGGAATACGGATCCCAGAAGGGAGGAACAGGAGAAGCCAGGGCATCGGTGGAGTATCTCAGTTGGTCAAAGGCCAGGGGGAGGACTTTGATGTTGAGAGAGAAAGTGAACTCTGGGCTGGTGAAAAGGTGTAGCTGTGTACACAATATGTTGCTTGTAGGTGTTTCAAATGGGTTTTATCTTCCCTTTGTCTCAACTTTCCCTGTAAGGTTTTCCCACTTCATATATTGTCCTTCCCTCTACTGCATTCTTCCTTCTCTTACTGTTTTCATATTCCTCCTTCTCCTCTGTTCTTCTCTCTCTTTCATTACTTGTGTCCTTTATTTGAATTCTCTCACTCCTTTCTTCTCTGTACTGCATTCCAAATTCTTCATCTTTGCCTTAATTCCTGTTCATACTCATTCACAACCTACACTTTGAGATTTCTTCTGACTGTATTTCCTTCCAATGGTCACTCCACTGTGATTTATTCCCATTCACTCAAGTCCCAAAATGACTCGACCCTACAGCCATAGCTGGGATTAGTGCCTCGAAGTTCAGATTTATGGAGTCTAGTACTGTCTGAAAAAGTTTTCTGCAATCTGGGAAGCCGACTCGGTCTGGGACATCACACAAATTGATCTTGGGACTGCATGAGCCAGGAATTTTGATGGTAGGCAGTAATTGCAAACAAGAGCTCAGCAATGCTCTTCCCAATGTTGGTATTCTCACTCACAAATTCTGTCATGCCTTCTTACAAAAACTGCTGCTCTAAGAGAATATGCTCTTGGAGTAAGACTTGTGTTGTCTTTCTCCTTTTCCCAAAGCCAGGGAAGCAATTTTCTTTCTATCGCCACAGGAAAGATGTCATCAACAAAGGTAAAGGACAATATAAAAGGTATCCAGGAAGAGAAGTAAAGGGAGTAGGAAATAGCTGCATCAGGAAGAAGCAAGTCAGAGAGAAGGGATAGGAGCCGGGGGGAGAGAGAGAGTGAGAGAGCTGATAGTATCTCCACACAACAGTTGTGAGTGTCACCAAATCTCATGGAGACACACTTAGCTCCCCATAATGAAAGCAGCTTGCATTGCATGGGTGCCAGCCACACAAATGCTGGAAGTTGCCTCCCTTTGGCCATCATGTGTTTGCACTTTGCAGGGGAAATGAGAGAGCTTGGGGCTGTTCCAGACCAGCCATGGCTTCCAAGGAACTCCTTTCCATACATCCTACTCCTGGCAGGACTGTGAGCATGAAAAACTTTTCAGGTGTGTGTAAAGGTGCATTTAGACATACACATGTGTGAACATGCACGTGCACTTGCACATTTTTTTCTCATCATTGTTTGCACAGGCAAAAATTTAAATTTAAAAATGAGAAGGGAATGGAAAGCCCACAAGTAAATCACATAATTGGCTCAAGCCCATACATTCAGAAAGGCAGAAGATTTGCAACATAGAGCAGACTTACTACAAAGAAATGGATCTCATTTTTGTTAAAGGAGTTACTGCAAGTAATAGAAGTCATTGATTTATACCTGTATCATCCAGTCTTTGAAGAAGTCTCTTGATAGAATTTTAAGATCAGCCATCCTGAATATCTTAAGTATGGTCATATGAGTAGCTATTTTACCCACAATTGGGTGTAATTTTAAAATTCTGTATTTTTGAAAAAATTTTATCTTCCCAATTGACCTGTTTCTCAGTAGCCATCAACTCAAGGAGATGCTTCACAGTTAACAATTTTTATTCTTTTATGATCATGCAATTCTGAATTTGGTAGGTGCAAGACAGGTACAAATTATCACTTTCTTGCAGCTCTTGCCTGGTGACCAAAGTCTTCAATAGGTCACCTGGCATGGTACAGTATTAAAACACACTTGCATCCAAACAAGAGTAATTACTCATGCTACTCATAAGGGGTTCTCTGTTCACACCAGTCATCAAATGGTTTTGGGATCATTCACAATGACCTTTTAAATAATTTTTTACGGCAACAATGTCAAACAACTACAGAATTTACTGCTGCTTAGCCTGAAAGTGAACTATTCCTCAGAATAGGGAACTAGGGGAAGATGTTTTCACTCAGCTGGAAGTTTTATGGGGCAGATTTCATCCATAATCCAAAATTAAATGTCAGGTCCCTTGAGATCTTGAGACTCAGTGAATGTTCAGCCCCAGAAATCAGGTGATGAACCAGAACTTCAGACTCTCAGAAACCAAACACTTTGTGCTCCAGAGAGATTTGGCTTGGTTTTATTTTTTCTCCATTTTTTTCCTTTTTCTCCTTAATTTTGATGGATGATGTTTTGTTCTGCAGTGAGTTTTAATGCATGTAGCTGTGGAACATTTTCAATTGTCGCAAACAACAACAACAAAAAGCAATATTTCAATATTTCTCAAGAAAAGGCTTCAAAGGTTTCAGATCTTTTTAAAATGTTTCTGCTTTATTTTGACGTGGCATAAAAGTTTTGTATGCAGTCTCGCATCCGCTATTGTGACAGCTGTATTTAATGAGTGCAAAATGATCAGAAAAACATCCTTTTCTGTGGGTTGCCATTGCCAGCAGATGACAGGAGAGAGGCAGTACTGTAATAACAGAAGCGATGAAGTAGTTCATATTACTACTGATGAGGTATTTCTAGCTCAAACACCTAGGTATGCCTTTTGAAAATAATGCATTGGTCACATTACCTGATCATTTCATCAGATTTTGTTTCCAAGTGCATTTTGAAGTAAAATTGTGCACTCTTAGCCTCAGGTCATGAAGTGGTTAGTTGCGACATATTATTCGGGGATAACAAAGTCAGTTTCCATAAGATGAAGAGGGAAAAGTCCTAGTCTTGTCTATAAATCCTGGCCTTTTCATCAAACTAATACTAAGCATGAAATGCAGATCCACAGACATGCTAGAAATGAAACACTGCACAATACGTTTGATTTCCATTTTATATGCATATTTATTATCAGACTATTTTAGTCCAAACTGGAGAGAGTATAAAAATAAATCTAAATGGATTTGAAAGGCAGGATATTTCTTTTTTCAAAGTGTCGTCGTTCCTGACTTCCTCTGGTGACTGTTAGCTTATCATGCCTTTGTACAGGAGATCTAAGTATTTTATTCTCTCTTGTGTCTCCATATGGTACCATTTCGCAGAGAGTCTTCCTTTGGTCACAAGATGACAGTGAGAATGGATTGTCAAACTGGACCACTATGACAATTTACTCTGAGGGAGAAAATCCTGTGGGTGTTTAGAAGCTTTACTGTAAGTTATATTTGATTAACTTATCCTACTACTGACAAATAATTAGGTCAGCAATTAATTTCAAAATGCAAATGTGCTACAGGCCTTCATATTTTAAGAAATTCCCTTTGTCTTCAGTTTCTACTTATGTTAAAGTCTTAATGGATTTAGCTGAATGAAGAAACAAAATTATGTTTTCTAATGCTTTATTTACTTGGTTGAGTTGGACTTTTTCAGCAAATATTGACAGCAAATATTTGTTCAGAAATGATGATGTGGAATGGAAATTAATGGAGCAAGAAAACAGAAGACTAATTATGAACCACTCATTTTATATATATATAGATAGATAGATAGATATAGATAGATATAGATATAGATATAGATATAGATATAGATATAGATATAGATATAGATATAGATATAGATATAGATAGATATAGATATAGATATAGATATAGATATAGATATAGATATAGATAGATAGATAGATAGATATTCACACTTTTGCTGCAAAATATGAATCTACCTTCATGAAATAGGAACAGAAAGACAAGCAAGAGGGTCAGGAGGAGATCATTGTGGCAAAATCATTAGTACCTGCTTAAGCAGTCTAAGAAACCAGGGTATACCAGAAAAAAATCCCATACCTAACACTGATACAAGTGTGTCCCAAAGAAACCTATCTACCAGCCTATCTCAGGGACTTTATTATTAAACAAACACAGATTAAAGGCTCAGTCCTTCCCAAGAGAAGCTCAAGGGAATTTTCTATTAACTTTAAGGGAGTGACACACCTAAGTCTATGTTTTCTATTAATAAAATCTTGCAATTTTTTAGAAAATATTCAAAATATGCTGCTGTATACAAAACTAGCCAGCTATCCTGATGTAAAATCTGAATGAATGTACATAGGTGCAGAATTATATTAGAATTTTAGATGAGTTATTTTGCTCAAATGTGTCAAGTCAAGAAGGAGAAAAAACACTCAAAAATTAGGTGAGGGTTTTTCACAAAATTTTTACTGACCTGAAGATGAAAAGAAATGTTATGCTTAATGATGCAAGCCACTTTGGAACAAATAATGGTTAAAAGAAAGGTCAAGTTTTTGGTTTTCTGGGCTTTTTTTATTTAAAATTATGCTTTCATATCACATTTGCTTAAATTAGTAATGTAAATGAGAAAAATGAGAAAAAAATAAGATAAAACTAAGTATTGCAATGTTTTAGGGGATTTTCATATTAGAAGGAAAACAGAGAGAGAGAAATGGGGTCAAATATGTCTCATGTACACAGAAAAAGCTTGGTTTCCATTCTCCAAAAGATAACATCCAGGACCCTCTTTACCTCTTAGCAGCTCCTGAAGAACTTTGAAGGTTCCACTAGGTAGGAGCAGCCAGCACAAGACTGAAGCTTGATTTTGAATGAGGGAGAATCTCTTTCTCTCCCCCCAGAGTTGTGGGAAAGAAAATCAGAAGCATATCTGGGTGCCAGAGGGCTGAGCTGTTGGGAGCTGAGCAGACAGAAGCTTTCTTGTAAGATAAGGCAGTGATCATGCTGCTTAGCTGCACGCTGGCAGGGACCCCATTTTAAAAATCACCTTTCAAAAAAGATACAGCTGCCTTCAAAAGTGTCCAAAGGAGAGGAATGGGAATGATCAGAAATGTAAGAAATGTCACCTGCAAAGAAATCTGAACTGGGGTGATTTCATCTGGAAAATAAAATGAGTGGACATAAAAACCAAGGGCTTCAAATGTTAAAAGCCTTCTGGGAAGAGGTAGGGAAGAGTTTGTATTTCAGGACTACAGCCAGATGACAGAAAGTGACAGTACTACATTGAAATGAAGGAAAGTCAGGTCAAATTCTGGCAAAAATTTTCTCACAGGGAAGACATTGGAGCTGTGGAAATTACAGTTTATGGATGGTCTGGAGTCTTCCCCACTGAAGATCTTCGAGAATAGGCTGCGCAAGCTACTTTCCAAAATAATGTGAATGTAGTTTTTAGCTGACAGCAATTCCTTGGTAGTTATTACACTGATATTTTAATTTATTTTAAGAAGCTGATGGGACTCTTGCTTTTGTGGTACCATTAAAAAAAACTTTAAATTAATCTAGGGCAAGAAACACACTATTAATGCCCAGTACAGCTTGCATTATGAGTGATAGCAGTTGTGGATGGGACTTACCTGCTGAAATAGGACAGATAAAATGGTCTGCATGACCAAAGGTGAGCTCATTAATATAACAAAATAAAAATACAAGTAAAAATATTTTTTTTAAAATAGAAGATTTCTGTGATGAATTAGCTGGCTTAAATACTATAAAAATAAAGTCAATATGACATAACTTTATCATTAGAATTGGAGTATATTCAACAGACTTTAGAAGCAGAGTCCCTGTGACTGTGACCAAGCAGAGACTACAAAGCAAAGCAATCTCAACCTCCATTCCAATATCAATAGCAACTTGGTATAATAGAAATTTGCCAAAAATACACAGAATACAACCTGTATAATGCAAATTATAGAATAAAAATATTATTTCTTTTAGGTAGTATCTGTATATATGATCAAAAAATGTCATAAAACCACAGAATCACAGAATATGCTGAGTTGGTAGGGACCCACAATAACCACTGAGTCCAGCTCCTGTCCCTGTTTAGCACCATCCCCAAGAGTCACACCTGTACAACATTCACTCCACTCTTAAATTCAAAAAGAAAGCAAACAAATGTCTTATATCATTTAAAACATAACTTTTTCAAATCAGAATGCTCTCTGGAGTGACCTGCATAAGTGTTAAAGTATGTAACAAGGTAAAAAGAATTTTGAAATATTGTTGCACTCTAAAATTAAGACTTTTCACTTCACTTCATTAACACATTTGTATCTGTTTACATTGAAGCATCCACACTAACTATCCTAGACTTTTACAAAAGCCTTCTGCTGGCTTCCCTTCCCTTGGCTGCCCGTGTGCTAGCACTTTCTCTTTGTCTCAAAAAGGGAGCGGCACATCCCGCCTCATATGGTCTGTCTTTCACTCTTTCTGTCACCCTTGGGAAAGAGGAGATTTTCCTTATCCTGTAAAATGTTGTCTGAGGATTTCCTTGTGAGGATCAGAGGGGCATTTCCCTTGGGATTGCCAGGCAATGGCTGAGGCCTGATGAGTATTTGTTTCTCCTGTCATCCATTCTGAGGGACATAATCCCAAGGGAATCAGTGGGGAGTTTTATTATGGACTTTGAAGGCCAGATATGCCTAAGAACATAGAGGTGATTAAGAAATTATTCTACTGAAGCTTTCCCAGCAATCTAGGGCTGGCTTTTTTTGAAAAATAATCCAAAACAAAAATGTTCTTTGTTTTTCATGAATATCAGATGACAAATCTTAGCCCTTTCTTATAGCCCAAACCACATTTGGCACACAATTGCAAACACAGGTTCCAGCTTCAGGTAAACTTATTATGCTAAATCTTCCCAGTGGTGTCATTTGGATCCCAAGTGTAGTTTTGAAGTCGGCCTGATTCTTTTCGTATGTGGTTTCAACTCCAGTAAGGCTTGTTCATGTATATGGAAATAGTGGTGCAACTATCTTTTTTAAATAAGTGAAATTCACAAGATTTACCAAAAAATGCAAAGTTTAACTTTATGAAATCTTTATAGAAACATCTTATCTAACATTCTGCTTAGATAAAGTTTTACCTTTGTAACACAGTATGAGTAGTATGGGCTTATAAAAGGCCTCTTTTTTTAAAGCAAGGTAGAGTCAGACTCGACTGACTGGTGTCATCTCAAAGCATGTATCCCCTCTGCACCCCGCAGCTGCCCCACAATCTCTCTTTGAGTGTCTCCCAGACATTTGGCATCCCTTTTTTTCAGGGGCCAAATCTCCAAATCAAGGAAGCAGATACAGACTCCAAAGGATCCACTGGCTTTCAGAACATGCTCTCATCAGAGTAAGGAGTTTATCACTCTTGAGAACCCTCTTTAGCACTCTACAATCCCCATTTCAAGTGTCATAACCATTTGCTGGTATCAACATCCTCTAACAGCTACCACAGAAAATATTGAAGAGCAACTGAAAGACAAAAGATACCTTAAGCCAGATGGCACATTTTAATTTTTTGAGAAATAGTACAACCACACACAAGAGCTAAGCAGCAAAGGAAAAAGATAGGGAAACAGAGGGGAATTCATTACGTGGAAATCACACAATGGTCTGGGAAAGGAGGTGAGGGGAGAAGCTTCCTTTTCCTATGCAAACACATATTGCAACATCTTCATCTTTATAAGAAAAAAACAAGTATGAAACCTGGAGGGTGATTACCTGTGCTGCTCTCTTCCTTACCACACTAGTCAGCCACCCATGACAACAGAGCCAGTTAGAGAGTCCCAACCGGCAAAAGGATTAAAACAGAAAAAAGTAAAGGGGAAAAATGCCTCAGGCCCCACACATGTGACTTCACAGCAAAACCTAGAGCCAGCCCTGAGGGGTCTGGTACAGAGAGTGAAGTAATGTGACTGTGATTAGGATGTGTGGAAATTAGAAACCCTCTTGTTTTAAGAAGGCAGGTTATCTACCAAGCCTGCTCTACACTGCTTTCAACTGTAATGTGGTGAACAAAGGCTGTCTGTACAAGATGCTGTATTTTTCTACTCAGCTTATGTCACTTAGAGCTTTTTATGCTAGACTCATTTTAAAAACTTCAATTTAAAGCAACATGAAAGGTCCTTAAACAGTAAATAGCATATTATATCAAAAACAAATAGATTAAAAAGTTAACAACCATAGCCAGTATATCTCTTTCCAGAGGAGTTTCACTTTCCACACAAACTAAAACTCTAAGACTGGCAGATCTGGGCCAGAGGTTTGTAATGGGCCTTTTACTTTTTTTTTTCTCCCTCTCCAGAGATAAATAATCAGTTTTAGAGAACTGATAAAAAGAGACAAGAATCAAAAGTGAGTGTGACACATTTATGAGAAGGATTTTTCATCTGTTTCTTAAATACAGCACCTTTATTTGAGATTGTATTAAAAAAAAGAAGTGGGAGAGCCAACCAATTTATGTTGTGCTGCAGTAGTGAATACATATGAATGTACAGAGAACAGCCTGAGAGAGACAGAAAATTCACCCAAAAGTTCCTGACAAGTTGAAAAAAGTTGTTATCATTCAAGAATCATTTATTTGAAAAAGAAAAATAAAAAACAGGCCACATGACTAAAGGCAGCAGAGAATAAAAACACATTGTTTCCAGACAAATCCCCATTAAAGACATATGACTCAGGAGTCTGAAGTTAGAATATCTTCATATTTTAAATTTCCATGAGCACTTTCAAGAAAAGATGGGGTTCTGCTAAGGGATTTGCTACACACTTTTTATTGCTGATTGATAGTAAGAAGTGGCATTAGCAGTATTTTTCCCGCATTGTTCTTCTGAAGCTAATGGAGTCAAGGATTCGTTACTTGATCTAATGGCAATAGCTTTCCAATAGACATGCACAGAATCATTGATTAGTTTGTCCTCTTCTTGTTTGCGTTGGAACACTGTTCAATTTACACCAATTAAAGAATACTTGGTTTGTGTATTGAAGAATAATTAAGGGCTGGAATTCCCTATAGGCTACTAAAAATGACATCTGACTAGAATGGTGATTACAGCATGAAGACAGCATTAGTATTTAAATAGTTTGACTGCTATATAAAATCATTACAGCACCTCACCATGAAAAAGAGCATTAGTTAATTTTGCCTATAACAAAATTAGTTGTATGTATTTGCCTGGTCACTTTAAGTAAATTTGACAAGGCTAATCTTAAAGCAAGTGATCCAGGTTTGGTGGAAGGAGCGGATAGGGCACAGTCTAAAGCAATAATCTTGATAGATATGTACATAATCTTCAACCAAAATACAAATACACACAAAAGAGTAACAAGAGCTTTGTCAGAGATGTTCAAATCAAATGTAAACGTTAAAAACACATGGGTTGCTAAAACTGAAAATCCAAGGGTAACTGACATGTTAATTATACAACAATCAAGGTTTCACAAACCGTAAACACACAAGAAATCCTTATTTGTCTGCCACAGTGGTTGTCAAACCTTTGCTACCCTTTCTGGCACTGCATGGTACAAAGAATCATGGGAAGCAAATAGGCACCGTGGAAAGAGTCATCCTTACTAGAAGGACTTCCCTGTGAAATATCCCAAATGATTAAAAATATTGGAGTGGCCTAGTCCATCTGTATAATGCCTCCTCAGACAAGCTTGGGTTTTGGGTTTTTTTTATTACAAGGTGGAGGTGAGGTTCATTCTTGAAAATACTGTTGAGGAAAGAGGGCTTTTTATCCTCTGTTTAAATTTCTCCATGCATATTAAATTGTGTCTCCTAGCTTTAGATTATAGTATCTACAGCAATGATCTATCCAAAATGTGACAGCAACATTATCGTAACATATACTGCTTGGGGCCAGTCCTGAAGCATGTTTACATTTCCATAGCCTACTTAAATATAGTGTGTTTGTTTTACTAAACTTAGATACTGTAGTATATTTTATAAGGTCATCCGCCTGCCTCAAGACCTCATATTGCATCTACTATCCTTCCTATGAGAATTTATGCCGTTTCAATTGAAGGTTGTCAACACCCTCTTTAATTCAGCAAAGGGTTCTCTGTGAAGGAACATAAGACTTTTCCATTTAAGCCTCTAAGGGCACGTAACCATGCTTATTAGCATGTGTACATTGTGCAATGCTCAACTGTGTCAAAGATGCCCAAGCTCCCAAGCCCACGCTCCAAATGAGGTGATACATCTGCACAGTACAATATACCTTTATTTGCGTGGCCCAGCACCTCTGGCCAATCTGCAGTGCCTCTTTGCAGATCAAATTAGTCTTTGGTGCCATGCTGTTCTTGTGAACATGCCTGGTTCTACAGGTCATGAATGGATATCTTCACTGCATTGTATTCCACCAGATGGATCTGCCCTAGAATTAGGTTTGGGACAGTACACTTCATCACACAGTATATCCACTGACTTTCATGGGGTTTTGTTCCAACATTTTAAAAGTCTCCTGTTCTGGCTTTTGTTTTCATGTTGGACAAGTAGTTCTCGCTTCTGTACCAGACCTCCTGTTGGGATCTCCCACTATAATCTGCCTGACTAGACCTTGCGCTTTCAGGAGTGAGACTAACACTTTTTTTCAATGAATAATATTCTTTTGCAACAGGGCTGATATAAGGGTGTATTCTTCCTTCCACCCATGAGAAGAAAGTCCATTAATTTCAATAGAAACTCTCCATGCAGAAAAGGGAGAACTGTGCCCCAGGGAACATTCATGGAAGATTAATGGTGAGGAGAGAAAAGTGATACAGTACAGGCAGAACAAAATCAGAACCCACCACACAAATAAAACTGGACAAGGGTTCATTTTTTAAAAGTCAGTCAGAAACGGCAGGAAGGCTTTGAAAAAAAAATCAGGGCTGTTTCAGCACTTTTGCATACATTGGCTTTCAGGAGACATTAATAGAAACCTAACAGTAACTCTTTTTTCGTACCTCCTTTCACAAGTCTCACTGGCAAAGAAGGATTTAGCACTTAATTCCTGTACTTTTATGTGGCAAATTAGGAATTTGCACCTTAAAAGGAAATTGCTTTTCAAACTCCCATAAATTCTGGATTCTATTTTTTTAAATGGTGGAAAACATTCCCTACGTTCATCCCAACACATCATAAATAGCACTCTGCATTACTGCTCCTCAGTAAGGTGTAGGAAACTGGACCTGGCCAAAGAGAGGTGTTTATCATTCCTCCTGAGGAGATGCTAAGGGTCTAGACCCTGTCCTTAACCCTTTTGCCTCCTTAGTCTTTTTAAGTTTAGACTAGCATGTTTTCTGTCTTCCTCAAAATCAAGTATCTGTTGAGGAAAGCATTTAACTCGAGACTTGGTTACTTGATTAAGTAGGGCATGCTGGAGCTGAATAGTCCAGACCAAAACTGGAATAAGAACCGAGTTCCAATACATTTTATTTTTCAGTTTACCATCACCTAAAAATAAACCCCCTACACCATATTTTGCATCATTTTAGATAACAACTGCCCGGTTGGCAACTTTACCAAAGCAGGAGGAAGATGGTGAAGGAGACTGACACAGCATGAGAGCCTGCAGACAGCAGCTGGTGACTCTCCAGCAGGAAGCACTGAAATGTGGATGGTAATGCTGATCCCAACACAAAGTCCGATATCTGGGGAGCTTGAGACTGAGGTGGCACCCACCAGAGTGGGACAAAGGGCATCATCAGAGAACCTCTGAAGACCTTTTCTTCATGAGGGCAAGACAGGACTGAAAGACAAGGAAGTGCAGCCCAGTATTCTCTCACAATGTGGCACCATGGCTGTCATAAAACCACCTTCCATTCTGACTGTTGATACAGAAATGAAGACAAACTTTCAAAAAGGTTGGTACACACCCTGACTTGTTTTATTTTTGAGTCATTTTTGAGTCATTTATGGCCTGGTTTCTTTGTCTCTGCACTTTCAAACATGACAAAAGACATGGGGCAGGTGTTTGGATGGCATCAGTTTTTCTCATTTATTCTATGAGGTCCCATAAAAAACAGTCAATGAGCATGGAACACACTCTGGATGTGTCTAAAAGCGTCTCAAATACTAACATGTGAATTTAGTAAAGTTAAACTCTGTGGAATGGAGATAAATGACAGCAGCAATTGAAGTTGAATGTGATATAGAAATCCAACTAACAGAAGACTGTCTGGAAACAATTATTTGGAAAGCTGCTGACCCTCTATTTCTTTAAAGAGTTAAACATTTGGATCAGTTAACTGGCAGCTGCAATAATAGGCATATGCTCTAATCTTTGATCCATAGCTGAATTTTCAACTCTTTGTATGAGATGCAGATCACATAGATTTGCATATTTTTAAGGATCTATAGGGAAAAAAAGAAGAACAAAACCTGCCTTTCCAAGACACCACTTTGAGATCACACACAGTGCCATGGGTGCTCCCAAGTACTCTAATGTTCAGAGCCAGTTGTAAAACTCAAAAATTTTATAAATGGCCCTAAACTGTGACATTTACATCTGAAGATTAATCAAAATTCCTCCTAGAACAGACTCTTGCAAGCCAAGGTTACATCGTAACTCTTTGGAGAGTTATGTTCATCTATTCTTAAGATCCCATTTTCACATCCAAATCTGTGTCAGAACTTTCATAAAATCTTGAAGAGTCCAGAAATTATGGATAAATTTAAAAATGCTTTGTAAGTAAATGAGAAACTGTTGACTAGACTCAAATGCATGAGCAAGTAACAGATTTATGCCAAGGTCTTGACATTTTCTTAGATTTGACAAAATTTTTCAGTGTTGATGAAAATCTGCAGAGATAAGATAACCATGAATCACCCCGTGAATGGAATGGATGTAATCAACCAACTTTTTGCATTTAAAATTCATTTCTTGTTCATCTCTGTTTTCAACACCAACTGAAAGATGTTTACTAATCACTCATTTTGGATCAACCATCACACCTACGGCACAGATTTCCTCCATTCAGTAGTATTTCATCAGGAAGTAGGTCCTACCGAGAGAAGCAAGCAATATACTGAGTACTGGGAAGTGAAGAAGTAATCATCCCTGCAAACGTGCTCAATTGTGTGGAATGTTTCAACATAGTCTTTACTCGATTCATACTTTACAATAGGCTTTTCCTCCTGGTTCACCTACACAACAGGCTCTGACATCAATGAAGATGATGAGAGCAGCTGTTTGTTATTTGTCTGTGAATATTTTCTATCATCCCAAGCAAAAATGCAGACTACTGCCTGGGACTATGCAGAGATGTGTGAAGAAGTTGTTCTCCAAAAAGCATTCTGTGTAGATTTCTTGTAGTTGCCCACAGAAAGCCATATGGGGGCATGGAGAATTTTTAGAAGCCTGACTGACACAGGAGACAGCACTTCCAGGCACTATGTGTCTTGTCCTATCTGCCTTGTTAAGTCCTGGCAAAAAAAAAATCCCATGAAGAGGAGAGGAAGGTGTTGCACATTCTTGGGTAAGGTGCAGTAAGGGGCTGGGGAGGTGCCGTGGTGGGTGTGATCAGACCACTGGCAGGTAACCAGAATTTGAGCCTGTAACAATAGGCGTCTTAGAGAGGTAGAGAATAAAGAGAATAGCATACAAGTTTTAATGAGAAAAACTGATTGCTGATGCAGAGGTTTTGAGAAGGGACCAGCCTGTGTCCTAATAGCACATACATTCCACATAGTAAACAGACTTCAAAGTAACCCAAAAGCCAAAATAAAGATTTGCTACTTTTTGTACCTTTCCAACAGCAGTAGTTGGTACTCTTCTCTCACTAGTATGGCCGTGTAACAGGCTTTTTAAGTTCTGGAAGCATTATTAAAATAAAAGGCCAAGTCTTGCCTTGCTTCTTAACTAGGAAGAGCTATAGATCTCTATAGGACTACTCTTTATTGCTCTCCTCTGTGCTTTGTATTCCTTTGGATGTCTCTCCCCAATGGCCTCTGAAAGATTCTGGATCTCCTAGAACCTTACTTTTTAGGGCATTGTGTAACCTGCTTGTTTTGTGAGAAGGCAGAATGCAAAAACTGAAAAATTGCGTTATATGCTGTATAGTGTGATTTCAATTGCTTCACTTAGTTATTGCCAACCATATTTTACAAATATCAACACATTATATTTGTTCTGACCATTGAAATTATGCTTTCAAAATAATTCAGATATGTGTTCTGATGTATTTTGTCAATATTACAATTGTACAAAATTGGTTATATCAGTTAGGAGAATCATCTTAAAATTGCCTCCCTGCAATTCATTCTCTGTATCTTAACTTTGTACAGTACTACAAGATCATTTTGCTCATGTGCTAAGTGGGATCCTAGTATATCACCACATTCAGTCAAAATATTGCAAGTTAAAATAAGAATACCTGTAGATTATGAAAATGACACCAAGAAAATAGCATTTCTTGTTAAATAAGCAGAAAAACTGGAAATCGTTTCAGTAAAAATTGATTAGAAGAGCAATATTTGGGAGGTATTGTCATTATTGTGGACAACAGTAAAAGAAAAACATACATCAAATCAGAATTACTTACCTTGAATTTAAAATGTTAATGAACCAAGACATTAGCAAAGAGATAGTATATAACCTTAGTGGTTTGCTCTAAGGCAATTGCCTACACTCCCTCTGTAGCTGAGAGAGAAAGAGACTCCACCAGTAACAGAGACTTATTTTAATATGGCCATATGAGATACCATCCTATAATGGCCATATGAAATGGCTGAACAGGGATCTGAAGGTGCTACCATGACAGACAGGGAAAGAAAAGTTATCTGAGACTAGATAGCTAACTCTAAGACAGCCACAGCAATTTATAAAGAATCCTTCTCTGTACATGAAGTCCCAAATTTTAGAAAATTAAAGACCCAATTAATTTCTAAGGTATTTTCATTTATTATAAACAGATGTGCTAGGGATGAGCATGCCTGTTTGTATCTTGACATAGATTTCATAGGCTGGACTTCAGCTGACAGCTCTGCAGTTATGAATCTTGAGACATATTTCACTTCAATTAGGAAGTTTTAGGAAGCACAGGATCTTTATTCACAAAAGCCTTTGAGAAATAGAGCTCTCAGATTTTAATTCTTCATTTGAATTAAGAAATTTAGTGAAATAAGGATACTCATGGTAGGCTTTCTACAGCTTTTCCTTTGAGAAAGCTAGGACAAACTGAACAGCATAAATGCTTTTCTCTTTGATGGATGAAGTCATGGAACTGATTCCTGGCATGGTCTCTATATCTGGGCCTAAGGCAGGTATAGTGAATGTCAATCTCATATCCATACCATATAAAAGGGATGCTTGTCTGTATCTTAAATCAGACATATGTTTCTTTAGTGAATGCAGTACAAATTAAGCTAATTTCTTGTGTTTGACTCTATAAACAGACCAAGTTATGGTCATCAAAGTTCACTAAAATAAATTTTAAGTCACAAAGCCTAGTAGTGTTTGTGAGAATGTTTTTTCATAAAACTGACCTTCTTTTGAAATATCGGGACTGAAGGCCAATCTACACTGGCCAGAGAATAAAACAGGACATGGAGAGTATTTGCCCCATTTCTGATGTTTTAGTTCTGTCCTTCAAAATAATTAAAGACTGGCTTTGCCATACGGCAGTTTCCGTCTTTCTCAAAACAGAAAGAGAGTGGGAAGAAACAGAAATAAAAATATATAAAAGAAAGAGCAGAAAAGAGAAAGGATTGCTCCAGCCCTCCAGCTTCCCTTTATGAAAGGCAAAAGACCAAAGGGTTTTTCACTTGATGAGGGCCAGACCACAGGCTAGGATACAAACCGCACTCCTCTTGGGTTGTGGGGCTGGGCACTCATCCTGCCCCTTTGCTGTGACCTGTCAGGAGGTGGATTGCCAAAGCACTAGGGAAGGGTCTCCTGCAGGATTAGCTCCTCACCTGAACATCACCCTAGAAACAGTGCCAGTTTGCATGGGTGAGAATTTAACCCACCTGTGACAGACATAGTGCAGAGGAATGATACTGAGCTTAGTAAACCAGTCAAATAATGTGTGCTGAGAGTGGCTGTAATACATACAGAAATATCCTTCAGTGGGACAGCAAGAGAATACCACTAGAGAGACATGCCTCACCTGTTGCAAATACTGTTCTTAGCCTGGACTTTGCACAAAAACATTGCAGAGATCCACACAAATCCATATATAGTGGGTCAGAAGAGTACAACAAGCTAGCAGAGGAGTTAAATTAATCTCTTGCATTGTGTCTGCTGCTGAGAGCGGTGTAGAAATTCCTGTGCCAAAGGCACTTTGCAAAGAAAATCAGAGTGTGGCCTTTATACAGATTGAAGTCTCTAAGGAGGAAGTTGTAGAGTAACTTGAGAAACTCAAGTGCAGTAAATCACCACAACCGGATGGTGTTCATCTGGGACTTCTGAGGGGAAATAAAGTGAGAAAAAGCCAAGATACTGACAAGAGGATGCCTTCTTTCCTTGAAAAATGCAGCAGCACAAGGAGGCTGGGAAGCCCTATTATGTTGCCTGTCTTCAAAAGGAGATGAGGAAAATCCTGGGAATAAAAGAGCTTTGAAGTTTGCCACAGTTTTAGGGAGCCCAAAAATACTAGTTCTATATAACAACTCAAGAGAGGGCTTGTTGGACATGAACACCCCATGAAGGTGTTCTTCAGTCTCCCAAACCACTAAGGCTGTTACAAGGGAGCAAAGTGCACTTGGTTACTTTGAAAAACCAGTGGAGCAGCCTCCAGAGAAAAAGTGGGATGACAGAGTCTTCTCAGAGAAAGGTGACCAAATGATCCAAATATTCTAAAGGTTTTACAGAGGTCGATTATAAGCAATTGTCACAGAGAATATTAAGAAACAAAACTGAGAATAATACTTGATGATGATTTCATCCTGGAATGAACTCCAAATCAGTCTGGAAGAAGTGAATATGAGAAGCATTTCTCTTTCTATTGAGGCAAGGAAAGGTGAAAACCCAGTAGTAGGTATCAGGATTAGTGTCATAAAAAATAAATTAGCCTGAATCCCAAATCCTGATGCATTCAAATAAGTGTATCCAGAATCCACCCAAGATCTGGATTCAAGTCACACATGTGGTTCCCATCTTAAAAGAGGACAAATCAATTCCTGGGTTGAAACTCCTGAGGTTTGTGCTCTGAGGTTTGAATACTCCATATTCAAAGACTTCAGCCTACACAACAGTTACGTATTAAATATAGGGGGTGGGAGGAGTGCATGTGTACACATAGCATGCAAAGGAAGCAATTAAATGTAAACCTGAATCAATTTAAAAAGGGATCCATGGCAAAAAGTGCTCTGATGCAGAGACTGTAAGTATTTGTTCTTTACATTAGCTTGCTGCAGCTAGCTGAAAGGGCAGAAGATTGCAAGTAAGAGACAGTGGGAATTTTGCAGGGTTTGGTGAGCCCATTTACAATCAAACATTTTAAATTATCTGGATTTACATGGCTTTGTACCATTCTGTTTTCTATCCTAGTTTTTTTTCTAATTCCTGCAAACTAGACCCGGTGTACTGAAGGCAAAGCTTCTTCAGTTTTAAATTCCTTTGTCTCTTGAATTCATTAGATTTTAAAAGCTTTCAAAGGAAGTCACAGGTAGGAAATAGAGAAAATATAGAAAGTGGGACACTTCTCACTGGTTTGTATGTTTCCAGTGTCTAAAGAGAAAGCTTTTTTTAAAAGCAAACTGTAGGAGGGTTTGTAAAAATAGATATTTACATTTACATACTGGGACAGAGCCTCAGCTCTTGAACAGGGCAGTGCTGAGAACCTGCCTCTCACACATGCACATATATGTGAGGAATATGTCTTGGATTCTGTTTTTCCAAATGTACAGAAATCTGCTTCTCCCTCCAGGTACTTTTGACTGTGCACTAAGTTGTGGGAGTTACGGCTCCTCTGTTTTTAACTGAGGGTGGTGTCCTCGGGGAGGCAGGGTGCGAAGGAATGTTGAAGTGTAAGGAGAAGGATGCATGAACAAAGAAACACAGAGAAGAAGGTGATGGAGAGAAATAGGAAAGAGAATGGTATCCCACATAGCCATGCTGTTCCAAGCAATATCTGCATTCACAGCAACAGGGAGTTAAACCGTGATTATGTTGCAACCATAAATTTTGGAAAACACCTCAGGTGTTTCCAGCTAGGTAACAGGAATAGCAGGAGACTTGCTACTGATAGCAAGGTGGAGAAAAAGGAGCTCTGCGCTCAGCTGTGCTATTGCAGGAGTCATGTAACACAGCACAGAGAGTAGGTGTCACATCAGATAGTGCTAATAGGTGCCAACAGCCACCTTCACCCCTTTCCCCTCAGTCTTTCCCTGTGTGAGAGTCAAGTGAATATCAATGTGAAACAACTCTGTATGACTGTGTGCTTCTGCCCACACAGTGGGACCCTGGTAGTGATTCAGACTGTACTGGACTTTGGACACATAATGTACACTGAATATCCATAATAAATAATAATTACCACAGTAGGGGGCAGCAGCCAGCTGTGGAGGAAGAGTAGGGCCAGCTGCTGGAAGAGATGTAAGCACTGGCTGAGCATGCAAGCTGGGCACTGGGGAGGGCGAGAGGGCCATGGCTGGGAGCCAGTGGCAGTTTACTGCCAAGAAAAGGGAGATAAAAGCACAAAAGAGTTTCACCAGAGGGAGCTGCTCCTGGCCACCCCTCAGCAATCGGTAGCGGCCCCGATCCAGGAGGGAAGGCTGATGGCAAACAGGAGCATCGCCAGCCTGTGAGCGTGGCCAACACTGCTCACACGTACCATGCTGGAGCTAGCACGACGGGTGTCTGTAAGCCAAGCAAGCCTGCTGCAGGAAAACAGCCCTGCACAGACCTCTGGCTTGCAGGAGACCCATACCTCCTCCAGAAATGAGGGCAAACCCATCCTGTTCCCCTCAACATCTCCCCAGATGCACCTCCAGCTAAAGCAGGGTCAATATTCCAGAAATGAGTGCAGATCCAAAAGAGACTGACAGGCACATGGTCAATGCTTTTCTAAACTCCCTGATGCTCAGGTCTCCTTTATTTCATCGACAGAAAAGTGTCCTGGCAACACTGAAGATCCCCTAACAGCAGGGCTATTTTTTGTCTGAATTCCTTGGAAGGCCTGACACTTAGTGCTTGGGTTGCCCAAGTAGTATGGTGAACAAAAAACTCCTTTCGAATACACTGCACACGCTCAGCAGTCCGGTCATCCAGTACAACTAAAATTTATCAGAGATTTAAAATATTTTTCTAACCCTTCTGAAAAGTAATCTCTAAGACCAAATCAGCTCACCAGTCTCATTTTCACAAGGCCATTCATGGCATGCTCCTCACATACTCGCTTCTAAACAAGAGCCAACAGCATCCCAGGGTCAGCTCCTCTATTTGTCCCATATGGAACACTCAACTCTTGCACCAGCACAGTGTAACAATTAATTAGCACATGTTCTCTGTAATAATTATAATAGTGTGGCACATTTCCCTTGCATTTAGCATAGTGATATTTACTTATATTCCTATCTTACCTTCAAGTGTGCTTTCTGTGCCTGGCTATTTTTCACTTAGCTCAACTGCAAATAGATAAAACCTGTTTGCTTTTCTCTCCCAAGGAGGAGCATGTGTATTTCCAGATTCTGTTTGCATCCACCAGGAAAAGTCACACACAACAACTGAAGCTCAGTTGGGCTTTTTTTTGCTGTGTTCCTGGTTGGTTGAGCTTAGGGGGTGTAATATAGGGTGATGTTAAAGTAAAGCTGATTTTCTCCCTTTCTCAACATAGTGGCTAGCAGATTTTTTTTGTCCCAGTAAAAAGAAAGTCTCTCATCCAAATCTCAGTTTATGTAGCCCACAAGAGAGTGAAGATATTGATAGAGGATATACCAGGCAAATAGGGTATAGGGAGAAACAGCCATCATTTTTGCAGGTAGTAGACAGGCATAATCTATGTGTGAGCTCAAACGCAAAATCATGGACAACAAAAAGCCTATATGTTGAATATATCTACAGCTCAAACACAAAGAATCAAATTCTTTCTGAATAACTTATATCTGAACATCTGACCTTAAGAACCAGCCTCAGTTAAACACTGGCAAACACCAAGATTTGGAAGGAAGTTGGGGTGTTGCACTACTTTGAAAGCTCTGTTTGGAACCAGCTGTCATTACGAATGTCTGCTGGTGCCTGGTCTTAGCACACAGCCTGTAACAGGTGAACATAACGAGAATGAGCCAATGGAGTATATTGAACTATGTTTTTTGCATATCCTTGTAGCTCAAATTATCACTTCACACAGCCATAATGGGTAAACTCTGAATCTACTTATGCCACATTCTAATTGGTTTCATTTAATTTGTGTATATGTCTCTCTGTGTTTGTATATACATATATGCATATTTATATGCACATATGTATATTTGGACATCATTATTAAAAGTAAATATGCATATTGTCACAGATTATTGCTATCCTTGTAAGAGATTCTTAGAGTAATTTGCTTTATTATACAATAAAACCATAGAAATTCATTGCCTTCTTTAGAATAAATAAGGAACACAGGACTTATTGTACATATATGTTTAATAGTTTGGACATCTCAGTGCCCACATAAAAACAAGGAAACATATATTGCAATAGGCAGTATAATTATTTCAGCAAGGAACATCCATCCCACATGAATAGAAATATGAGATTCAGCATCACAAGATTCTAGAATTATGTCATCAGCTGCACAAGTTTCACAGCTTATCTTTATGATTTTATCTTACAGAAGTAAACTCCAAAAAAAATGTATAACACTGCCAAATTTAACAGCACATTCATGTTAAGACTAGCTGTAAAGATTTCAAAAAGGTTAATAACATCAGCATTTCTATACATATGTGTGCACTTATGTATGTATACACACACATGTACATATAAATGCATACATACATGTCTGTGCTATGTATATAACCTATCTTTAGATATGCCATTATTTTATAAGATTAATTCCAAGTACATTAAACTTGAAAGCAATGTTCTATACAGTTTACCCATTTAAAGAAGTCCCTGCTGGTGCACAGAAGATCGAGATAGTTGAGTTCATTAAGCATCATCGGATGAGGCTGCAGGTAGCCGAAATATTCCTTAATGAAAATTTAAAGAGAGCAGATTAAAATTATATTCCTCTAATCCAACAGAACACAAAGGTAAAGACAGTCAATTACAACCAAGATCTCATCTAGCACAAAAGGAGTATTGTAGTTTGTAGATCAGAACTTACTGGCTGAAGTGAACAGCTATGCTTGTCACTATGTATATAATTACTTTCTACAATGTTCTCTCCTAGCACTCAGATGTAGTTATGGAAAATGATGTTTTCCTTAATGTTAATCTGTTATGTTCATGACCAAGAGTTAGAAAATCTCAACAGCATCAAAGATTTTTTATCTGTGTTAGTCTGTCTTTTTACATTATGAGAAATAATTTTTAAAAAAGCAAAGTGTCATGTACTTTTTTTAACTCCTAGGTTAACTGTTTTAATAGTGTTTTGTGGGTCAATAAAGGGGCACCAAGGAAGTGGTTCAAGCAGGATACTCTACCTGTGTGCCTGTTCAGAATGATTGCAGCCTTCCTCTGGACGCGTCAGGAGGGGCTTTTAGTGACAAGACACTAAGGGTGCTCAACTCTATACCAGATCTGTTGTTAGATCAGAAAAATGCACCACATCTTTAAAATCTCATAACTAATAAAGATGCTGACAGGCAGTTGTGTGACGAGAAGAAATGAAGAATAACAAGAAGGTTGAAAGGACTGCTACATTAGAAAATATTGAGCTAAATATCTACGAGTTGCCTTAATTCTAACTAAACACAGCATCACACTAGTTAAAAGAGATCAAAGGGAAAGAAGGAAATTTGCAAAGGGATGTAAAAAGAAGAAATATGATGATGTTAAGAATGGCAAAAACTCCTGACAACAGAGTACTCTAGGCAACACAACCTCTCCCTTGAGATATGGCATCACTTAGGAAATTTAATCTAGGCACAAAAAACCCCACAAAAATATGCCATAAGAAACAACTTCATTGTGTCAGGAAGATGTACTGGATGACCCAAAAGATACATTGCTAATTGGTGTGCACCTGTTTTTTTGTGATTTTCCTTGCTTGTATGGCCAACTCATCATTACTTGTCTGTATTTGGTTTCTCTGGGTCCCATCCAACTCATGCTGCAGTCAACAGAAGTTTCCAACAGGAGCAATAGGACCTCAGTGTCTGTTCCAAGTCTTTGCTGTTCTAAGAAGAAGAGGGGGAGAAAAGCTCACACAACTTTGCAAGAACTTAATGCATCCGGTGTCTGAATATATATGCAACTAAACCCTTAAAGTTTTTTTTTATATTTAAACCTGTGTTTATCCTTAGCAATATCTGAGGAAATATGCATTTGCTTTCACTTGGTGTAGCTAAAATTTTTGCTGGGGAGGAAACTTACAGTTCATCTAAAAATACCTTTGAATGAAAAATTGCTTTGGTCATGCAAGAGTGAAGAAAATTCTCTACACCAAGCTAAAAGTAAATTCTATATATTACACAGAAATGGCAGAGACCTTTCTATTGCTAAAGTAGTAATGCAACCAATGAAAAAAACTAACCATGAATTCTGATCTCAAAACCATAGTTTTCAAATACTTTTACCCAATGTCTTAGTATATGTAATCAAATTGTACTTAAAATCCACTTGCTTGCAGATAGGGAATGAGTATTTTGTGGCAGCTCAGTGTTGGCCCCTTGAGAGGCACAAATTTCTGTGTAAGTGGGGCTGAATGTTCAGGGGTCAGAGCTGTGCATTGGTATTGTCCATATATCTAGCAGCTGGTATTGTAAATCTTTAGAGCAACGTTTCTTGAAAATACTAAACAGACACTTTGGTAGCCAGTATTGAGCCTGTGGCTATACTGCTCCAGGCTGTGATCTTGTCAGGTTTTACAAGATAAGTAGGGTCAGGCAGGGTCACCACTTGGATTGGTAATTCTAAGGAAAGGCAGGAGCTGCCAGAAGTGTCTCAGGTGATAGAATAGCTGTAACCGTTTTCCCTGAGCCTTTTCTAGTACTGATGAAGGCATAATGGCAAGCTGTGACACAAGAGCAAGATCCTCACCGTCTGCAGCCATCAAGTGCATAATTTGCAAAGGGATCTTTCCCTGGCCTGGTATGGAAGTGTGAGGTTCAGTATGTGAGAGATGGAAAAATTCAGGTGCTGCATGCACACTTGGTCCTGGATGAACAGCATGTAAATGTGGGGCTCCAGCATGTTTCATCAGGAAGGGGGTACAGGTGAATGCCCTTTCTGACATCTTTGGGGATGCTGGTAGCTCCAAATTAGGTTTTGTCCATGTCTACAAAGCAAAAAACAAGCCTATTGAGTGAAGAACTTGTACACTAACTTTCAGCCTCACACACTTCTACAGAAAGTATAGAAGAGCTGATAATAAAATCCTTGCCCAATGGTCTACATTGCCAAGAATTTTAAATTGTAAGTTAACCAATTTCTCTTCTAAAGTTCAAACAACAAATAAAATTCTATGTGAAAAATGGAGCCTTTTATTCCTTTGTTAAAATCTGATCAGAGTAAACTACAGATGTTAAAAGGCATTGTAGTTCAAAGAATTAAAAGAATCTTAGAGGGTCTGTACAAAGAAAAGAGTTTTAGAGAATAATATGGAAAATATTATAGTGCTATTATATAAATCAGTGGCACATCCTCACTTTGAATACTGTCTTCAAATTTGGTCACCTAATCCTGAAAAAAGAAAGTAGAAATAGAGCAAGACCAGAGAATGGTAATAAAAATTATAAAAGTTAAAAGGATGAGAAATTTCTTGAGAAGAGAAAGAACATAAGCACCACCTTGTCCCTCAGGAAAGATATATTCTCATGAGGCATAGTCTCATATTCCTAGATATGGCACTTAGGGATGTGGTTTAGTGATGGACTTGGCAGTGTGAAGTTAATGTTTGGACTTGATGATCTTAGACGTCTTTAACGATTTGATGATTCAAATCATACTGAACTGAACAAAGCTTCTCCATGACCTTAGAACACATGCTGTTGTCTCAGACACTCTAGAAAACGTCCTTGGAGCCCAGCAGCTCTGGAAAGCTCTGAGACCTTTCATGAACAAGATATTGCAGGTATTTTCCTCAGTGTACCCTGTTGTCTTAAAGAACTTTTAGCCACTGGAGGCCGATCTGACCCATGGACAGTGGGCAGGACACAGAGCTACATATTAGAAACACTTGTTTTCCTTTGTTAAATCATAGGAAAATAGAGTGATTAGGGTTGAAAGGGATCTTAAAGATCATCTAATACTGATCCCACCTCCATAAGCCATGATTATTACCTTCCATTAGGGCAGGGTACTCAGAGTCCCATATAACCTGGCCTTGAACAGTTCCACGGGTGGGGTGTCCCATGTCCCTGGGCAACCTGTTCCAGTGCCTTATCACTGTTATAGTAAAGAGCTTCATCCTAATATATAATAAAAATCTATTTTTCTTCATCTTAAGGCCATTTCTTTCCCCTTGTCCTGTCACTTCATACACTTGTGAAAAGTCCTTTTCCAGGAACTTGACTACAATCCTAACTCATTTTTTGGGTCTAACTTTTAGAAATTCACTTTTTTCTACCTTTCTCTTTTGAAAGGCATAGGTGGTTGAGAGGTAGGAATCCATTGACTGGACTGGCAACTTTTTCAGTTAAATCACTCATCTTCCTTGAATATGTGCCATGTGTCTATTCAAACAGTTTCAGTCCCAAAGGGCTTGCACAGTCTCCCTCACTTTGTATGCTGGGATCCCCAGGCTTCTTCAGAGTTCTACTTAAGCATGACTATGATATAAATAACATTCTGTCCTCAGGATCTTTGAACTTAATTAGCAGAAAATGAAAAATCTTTCCTATCTCGCAAGGTGAAACAAAAAGGTATTGAATTTCAAATGGATGAAAGGAGTTGCTTTTTCCAAACAATGTACAGTTAATTAATAGAACTTGCTATCACATGGTTAGTTCTGAGAGAAACAGCATCATATTTGCAAATGACAAGTCATTTTTAGGCATAAAAGCAAATCTTCACACCAAGTTCAGGCTGGGTTAAATTCAGTAGAATGCATTATGCAGAAGATCAGATTGGATTATAATAATGGTTTGCTCCTAGCCTTAAAAAATCTGTGAGTTTTACTAACTGCTACTATACAATGATGTCAAATCATCCCAGTGGTTCATGGCATGTGCCAATCAATAGTGTCAAGACAGCACATTCACCCATGGTAAACCATCACACTGGGCCTTCAGAGGGTCAGAAAAGTCTAGGAGGCTTTTCAAACTGGTGGCTATCTCATCTCTTTCTAGAGTGGAACAAATCTGTTCTCCTCCACTCCTGTATGGGAACCCTGGGAGCATCAGTCATATTCATGCTAGCATGGTGTGTCTTCAGCTCTGTCTGCAGGTCTGCAGGAATAAGATGACCAAGTCCAACAAGGTCTTGGGCAAAAGAGGTTTGGAGGAAGGTGAGGAAATCAAAAGGTCAATGGCTGCAATTAACTGTATCTTTTGACCAGTGTAACAGGCACAATGGAGTCCCAGTGCCCTATTACCCTGACCAGCATCCCTTCCATCCCCATATAAACCCAGAACCACCCACAGGAACCTGTGGAAGCAGAAGGTCCATCCTCAGGTGCCGATGGTTGAGTGGTATAACTGAACCTTGGAGGCAGTACAAAATTCCCCATGGACAGGTATGTTCTATGACATTTCTGTCACTCTTTTTTACTTGCGATATCCTAAGGTGGGACCAGGAGATCTCATTTGTCTTTATTGCCTTATCTCATATTACCTTTCTGTGGTGTGGCATGATAGATACCCTATTCATTTCTGAACTGTTAAAAATATGTTCATGCTGACAAGGTACCAAGAGAACAGAGGCACTTTTTGACATGATTGCACTTACCTACAACTTCAGTCATCTTATGGGCCCCTAAGAAATCATGGAGGATGTCTTCTAGTGAATAGCTGTGCTGGGGTCATTTCAGTTAAGGGAAGTTGTTTCAGCCTTGTGGGTTGAAAAAAGTTATCTACTGGGGGGAAAAGAAAACAAAAAACTTAAAAGGGGCAAATCAGCTCCTTACACTAGTGGTTTTATACCATCAAGGTGTACTTTTATACAAAGTCAAAGAGTACACATAAAGGAAGCACAAAATGCTCATGCAGTTGCTCTTCCAGGATGTTTCTAATGGCAAGCTAGATTGTAAATTATTTCTTTGGAGGCCAGAAAGCACAGTGGAAATAATGTATATTATTCATAAAAATGATTGTCCTGTTCACTTGTATACCTCTGCAATTTATTCTGTAGCAGCTTTTTACTTCAAAGAAATCACTAGCTAATGACATCTCAAACTTAAAAAAAATCCACTTATTCACAACCCTGCCCCTGAGGGAATTCCTGCATGTTATCAGAAATTTTTCCAAAGATCATTAACAGATATTACAAACCAATTGAAACTGAGTATTTTCTTTGCAAATTACTTTTAACTTTAGAGCTATTGAAAAAAGACATTGAGTGATTTAATTTACTTAATCTGTCTACAGATTGCAGCTATGTGCATATCCTGTGATTGCATTTCCAACAAAAAGCATATATAACTATCCCTAATAGGGATATTTTTCTAAATTATCGTACAAGATCAGTAAGATCTCTGCAGATATTAATGTTTACTTTTTCATTTAGAAAATTGCACTCAAAAAAGAAATGGGCATCTTTATTCTGTTTTTATTTTAGAAGTAACAGCACACTATAATACTTATTTTACCTACTATTTTAATTAAAACTCCAATAATCATCGTACCCTTTGAGGATATGTTCTACTGATTTATCTGAAAAATCACTGTAATTTCATTAGGCTGTGAAGACAATGTTTTAGAAACACCTTACACAGCAATGAGTATACCAAAAGAGATCCTCTATCTTGCATCAATCCAAAACACCAAGCTAATTCAGCAGTGGAGGGCTGGAGATTGAATCTGATTCTGTACTTCATTGCCTTAAACTCCTCCCAGAGAACCTTATACGTGTCAGCACCACTTCTGCAGGAAGTATGAAAAATCTCTTCCCCCATGAATATTTAGTACGCAGCTTCCTTCCTAAGGTTCCTGCTCTCTCTGCAGATAAGAGATAAGGGCTTGAAGCCCCTGAAGCTTGGGTGGTGTTTGAAGTTAATGCTTTTGAATGGCAGTGAACACAG